AATTATTTTCTAAATGTTACTGATTTTACTACAATAATGGAGGAACACAATACTTAATTCAAAGAATGGTTCTCCATGATTTTCAGGGAAAAAGTATTCCTTTTTTTAGAACTTGATCTTTATCAATCTTCCATTACAAAAACTTAACTGGTTCGGGAAGGAAATGAAGTTGAAGTTAATGAATTATACAAGACTTAAGTGAAAATATGACGTAACTCGTGATTTAAATAGTAACGTCTCTTGGAAGTTCTTAATATTCTACTACAAGACGAACAATATTTAGAAACGTTTTTTTTTTAATCAAACAACATTTTTTAAAACAAAAAAATTATTATGTTCAGAATTGTTTACTTTAATCAGCAGTATACGCTTTTAATAAATATACGTTAGGTACCATAAATTTTGCACAGTAAGATAAATACCTGTTAATGATTCTGTCTTGGTATTTATCACAAAATGTCTACTGTTTAGCAAGCTTTCCATAAAAGGTTGATGTGAATCTTTCTGCCAAAGGTTCATGCAATCTTGCTATGAAAGTTTGCTGCAATTTTTTTAAATGTTTTTCAAATTAAAAAAAAATTTGTGGAAATAAATTCGAGGGGACTGGGAATTGAACCCGAGTTCGACGGACGCTAACCAAACACCCTAACCGACAAGCAAAACAACCAACTATTAAAAAAAATGTTGCCCATGCGCGGTAGCCCTCGTAACTTAGGTCAACAGGAACCGGGAAATTCTCATTTATTTGAATAGCTCGATAGTCATTATAAAGAAAGAAAAGTGAGCAAAAAAAATTAGAAAATAATTTAATATTGTCTCTTCACATAAATAGAGAAAATAGTAAAAGGGAAAATTGTGCAACGTCACAGTATGTAGCGCAGAGGACAGATACGCTGGTTGAGACACTAAGATATTATGATCTATGTAATTGATAATACCAAATGGTTTATTGTCGTATTGTTGAATCATGTGATATTTTTTAATAAATGAGTGAATTTTTTCTCTTTCAAGTGAATTGTGTTTTTAAAAAAAATTTCAAATTTTCTAAATAAATGAACAATTACGTCATTATTCATTTTGTCTCAGTCTAAAATTAATTATTATAGGATGTTTATTAACATCAACCAAGTATTTTAGAAATTTGTCAACAATAGTTGCATTATATAAATCTCTAGTTCTCTCTAAAATAAATTATATCCCATTCATATGGATTCCATATTACAATAAATATAACGATGAACTGGAGAAAATCCAAAAATCATTTCTGAAATACTTGGCGTTTAAATCTGATAAAATTTATCTACGACAAGGCTGCAATTACCTCAAATTGTGTAAAAGATTTCATTTTCGTACAATAGCCCAACAAAGAATCCTGTACGCGACCTTATTTTTATGGAAAATCCTAAATTCCCAAATAAACGCTCCACAACTCCTCTCCCAGATACGTATTAGAGTTCCTCGTCCTGTCTCTAGAAACCTACAACCCTTTTACCTTGATCGCCCCTCAAATGCAATCACAGAAGTCACACCCTTGTATTTTTTGTGCAACCACATAAACTTGATGTTCACACAAATTAAGCCCGACCTTGATTTATTTTTTTCATCTACAAAAATTTTCCAATCTGCTCTTGACATTTATATTGACAACTATTGTTGAAAATGTCGTTCTCAAATTCTACTATTAATTTTATTTTTTTGAACTTAAGTTTGTTAAATAATTAATTTTATTTTTTGTAACTCATGTATGGCCCATCTTGGACTGCGGGAAAGATGATGTAAATAAATAAATTTTAGGTATTTCAACATACATTCCAACTTTTTTTGGGTCAAAAAACATATGATCAAAAAACATGTCATAAATTTTTTATTTTTGAAAGAAAAAATTATTTTTTACAGCAATTTTTTAGCCCAGAACAATAATTTTTTAATGGTAAATATAACTATTTGCTAAATATGGTTTGTGTAAAAATATTCTTTGATAGCAAAATCTGTCTCAATCGGCGTACCTCTCCCTTATGTATGTCACAGAATCTTTGTTCGCGCATCACACAAAAATGGCTGAACCATTTGAAACTATATATTTGACAGAGTGTTATTAAAAAGTGTTGTCAGAAATAAAATTTGTATTCAAGAGAAAAATTCCTGTGAAAATGGTTGAAAATTAAACTAGTGATAAAATGACTTGAATCGACCCGGAAACTTCGTTACTTCCTGGTGCATTTTTTTTTTGTTATAAAAGTTTAACTTCCCCGAAGAAGTTGACTTAAATCGACCCAAAAATTCGTTTCTTCCTGATTTTTTTATATAAAAAAGTAAACTTTCTCGAAGAAGTTGACCTGAATTAACCCTGACTCCTGGTGATATTCTGTGTATAATTTTCGCTACTTGACATAAGCTTCCTCGAAGATTTTAGCTTTAATTCACCTGTAGGACAATTTATGATATCCCAGTCCTTCCTTTTTGGGAAAAAGGAATACTTATATATGATGAGGCAAAATTCCTCAACTGCCCAGGTCAAAAAATGAATTTTCTCTAAACTTTGCTAAAATGTTACTATTATTAAAATATAATTTTTTTTGAATTTGATAAAATATTTTTTGAGTTATGGAGTTTCAAAATTTTGATTTTTTGAAAATATCTTTTTTTCGATTTAATATATTGATAAGTAAAATTAATCAAATTTAATACATGAATAGTGATTTTTAAAGGGTTTTTCACGAGCTGTAAGCTGGTGACGAAAAAAAATAGTTTTCTTTCAATTTGACCTTCAAATTTTGATTAGGTCAAATCAAAAAAATGTTTCTACAAACTAATAGCACAATAAACAGACACCTCTTTTTGAAGAAAGAGATAAAATGAGTGTCCTCGAGAAATGTGTAATTTTTTAGTTACATTTGATGCAGGGATTTGTAAACCATCTTTTTTAAAATGGTTTGATACCACTGTTGGTCGAGAAAAAGCTTTATTATGGCCAAAGAAGCTAAAAATTGTATTTGTTTATTTTTTTTAATGACGGACAAGAATTTTAAAATCCATTTGATTTTCATAAATTTTGGTATCTGGCAGTTTCTCCGATCGCTAATAACAAATTTTGAAAATCTGACTTCAGATTCGTAATAAGCGACCTCAGAAACCCTTGGGGGTTTCTGATTTGCTTGAATCTTCTTGCTCGGGGAGACAGGTGGAGATTCTGGAATCTCCGCCTGTCTCCCCGAGTAAGAAGATTCAAGCAAATCCATGATTATTTAAAAAAAAATTTTCTGTCATATTAAATCCCATACATTTTTTGAGGTTAGGGAAAATCCTGACGTGCTGGGACAAAATGAACTTTAGATTCGTTTTAAGCACGTCAAAATACGTATGGAAAGGGTATTCTGCGATCCCCTAACCTCAACACTTTTCTTTTTTTGTATGGCTGTGTAATCATTTCTTCTGAAACTTTTTTTAAATAATTCAATTCTCATTAAAAATCAAAGAGTAGAAATTTTGATTTTTTGGCTACGATTTTTCGATAGTTTTAGTTAAAAAGTAAAACCTCTAGCTGTTAGTTTTTATCGCCATTTTAGACAAGCCACAACTTTTTTCCTAATCACCATGTGAAATGCAAATAATAATTAAAAATTAATAAACAAAATTTTAGATTACAGAATATAAAAAATTTTACATATATGTATATGAAAAAGCGTCACTAAATGCAATGAATAAAAAGTTAGTGTAATATGTATAAAAAATTACAAAACCTAAGTAAGGTAAAAGATGACATTATGATATATGACAATGCGCTTTTTTGATATTTGACTTCTTAAGACAATTACACCATTAATAATGAGTTAAGGCGCGGTAAAGCGTTCAAAGCCTTTTACTCAAAACTATTTTTTTTAAACTGGCGACTATAATATCTCAAAAACGACTTGATTTTTGTTCCGATATGAATTCGTGTGCCGTTTTGAAACATTTTTCACCGGATTTCTGGCGGAATTTTTACTGAAAATTATAGAAAAATTCGTTTGGAATTTTCACGAAATTTGTACAGAATTAGTTCGGAAAAGAGGCCGGAAATTATTTTTAAAAAATTGTCTGCAATTATTACGTGCGGAATTACTATCGGATACCTTGCGGAATTTTGACCAAAAATTATAGAAAAATTCTTTTGGAATTCGCACGCATTTTGTACAGAATTCGTTCGGAAAAGAGTTTTATAAAAAATCGAAAATAATATTCTTTTTCTTTAATATCAACAAAGCATCGAATAAATTTTTTTTTAAAATTTTTTAGTGAAAAGTGTATCTTTTTCTTGACAATTTAAAAAAATTGACATCAATATCTTTTACCAAAAAAAAGTTATGTGGTTTCATAGAAAAAATGCTATAAAGTTTCAAAGTTGTAGGGGGAAGTCCCCTAGTACCGGACACTGAAGGTTTTCATAAAATAAAATTAAAACTACTTCAATTTTGAAATAAATAGAGTTAAAATATTTTTTTGTAGAAATTGTTTACTATTAATAAGTACGTTAAAAATCCTTCAAAAAGCCCTATATACGAATTAAAATTGATAAAGTTTTGTCAGAGTGATAAAGATTTGAATGCAACAGTGTAACTTCAAATTTCAAAAGTTCAACTCCCACTACTTTTTATAGTTCCTTCTTAAATGACCTAATATTTTAGGAATATTTTTCATTTATAATAGAGCAACAATTTACCAAAGTTTCGAATTAATCTTAAAAAATGTACTGTTCTCGAACAAGAAATTATCCCTTAAAATTGAAAAGCTTTGAATTTATGCATATAAATTTTATTAAGAAATTATGTGGTTCATTTAAGGAACTTTGACTGTCCCTCAAAATTGGTCCAAAGTGTGAATGAAAAGGCAAAGGAAAGATCAAAATCCATGGGTCCACGAGAATCTTCAATTCCCTCTCTCCAACTTTGGAAGGCCCAGATATCGGCGTTTCTTAGCTCTCTGGACCCCACTCGCATACCCAATACATAAACCCTGAGTCTCCAGTCCCTCTGACTATTCGCGCAGCATCGTTCGATAGGCACGTGACTGTTAAGATTTACACCACGTGTGTGAGAGAACGTCACTTCCTTCACAGTGTCTTCCGTGATTACTTATTTTTTTCTTTGGATGCTACAAACACCCCCTTTCACCTGCTGCTGCTTTTGTTTCCTTCTCATCTAATAAAAAAAAAATATTGAAATTTTCGGAACAAAAGTCTGACGTACCGAATGTTTTCACCAATCCACTCGAATCGGCACAAGGATAAGAACGATCAGGACTTTTCCGAACTCGTGCCATCTTGACCCTGGAAAATATTCACCCCTGCCCTCCCTCTATTGTTTAATGTGATATTTTTTAAGAAGAAAAAAAGTTAAAATTTATTTAAACATAAAATAAAAAAACTTTCTTTAATTAACGAACGTTTTTTTTGGTGACTTTTTTAAAAGTGAAATCGGGGTGTTTACATTCTTGATATCAATTCTTCAAAAAAAAAAGTTTAAAGAAACTAGTGAGACCACGAATAGACTTTTAAGTGAAGTGACAACTTTTTCATCAGGACTAATTAGCTTCATTCAATAAAAGGTAAGCAGGTGCGATCGTCACTATCTCTAGTGTCATAGGAATATCGAAACTCGTTGTCTAAGGAACCTGTTCACTTACAATTCATTAGTGTAATTCACTACTTTATTTTGATATTGATAAGTTCATCCATATGATTCATGGTGGTGCTCAAAGTGAAAGTATTAATAGTATCTTAGAAAAGCTTCTTTCGTCCCAAAATTTGAAAAAAATTTTAATTCCTCTGTTCTTCGATTTTTTATTCTTTTTTTTCAATTAAAAAATATTTTTTCTAAGATTCAACCTATTTCTTTATAAAATGCTCCTTAAATTTATTTTTCTTCTAAAACTTAAACTTCGTTTTATAAAAAGTAAAATAAATTTGTAATTACTAATTGAAATAATTTTTATTTTTTTTCATTAAAAAAATTAAACTTTCTACAAGTTATTGCCCACTGTGAAAAATTTTATTATTGTCGTTGCGTATTACTTATTGAACAGAAAGTTTTTACTTTTTAAAAACGATGGAAAAGTTAAGAAAAAAAATAACCTATAATTTTAAAAGAATTCTTAAATATGCAGTAAATAATAAATTAATTAGCAGCGCAATATCGAGAAGTTTTGAAATATATTTCAAATTTCCTTTTCCTCATTTAGAATATTTCTTTTTAAAATTCTAAAAAGTTTTTTTTGAATGCTTTTCAAATCTAATGTCAATTTCTTAAATTTTTGATAATATAGAAAACTGTTTACTATTGTAAATCTCGCTAATTATTATTTCATCCCAGATGAAAATTAATTTTACTTTTAAATTTTCTTTCAACTTAAAAATATTCAACAAATTTATTTAATTTTTAATGAAAACATGTAAATCAAAAGATTTTTTACATAATATCTAAAATACTAGCAACAACTAACTTCTCACTACGTTTATTAAATAAAATTAACAATTTTAAAAATAATGTAATTTTAAAATTTTCTAATTTAATACTTTTTGTTGAAAACACTAAAAAAATAAAATTCATAAATATTAAAAAAATTCTTGTCCTAATTTCAATTATTTTCAAAAATTTTCCTAATTTCAATGATTTTCAATATTTACTATTTTAATAAAATTTCACAAAAAGAATTCAATTATTTAAAAAAAATTTTAATAAAATTGTATGCAAACATTTAATTATTTTCATAAATAATAAAAATTTCACACAAATTCAATTATTTTTATAAATTATAAATATTTTTTAAGGAAAAATTTATATTCATAAAAATTTATTCATAAATTTATTTATAAAAAATAATTTAAAATTTTAGAAAATAATAATTGAATTAAAATGATGAAAATAATTTTGATGAAGTTTCAGTAACAATATTCTTATAATATAAAATAATGATTTTATCTCTCGGTCATCTTTAATTATTAAGAAAACATGAAGAAAACGATCACTCCAAGTCTTCGACTCGGAGCAATCGATATCTTCATGTCTTATAACAATACTTTTATAAGTTGTTTAATTTAAAAAAGGTTTGAATTTTAAAATTTTTGAATGTTTTAATTCCTGTGGAAAATCCTTTTCCAAAAATAAGATTAAAAATAGGAATTGTGCAAATATTTTTCTTCTTTTTCTAAAACAAAATAATAATTTTGTTAAAAAAAATTGTGATTCATAGACAAAAATAATTCAAAATAAATCAATTTTCTATTTTTTAACCACAATTAGTTAATATTTATATATTTATAAAATAAATCTAAAATATATTTTCAAGTTTTCAAGAAAACAAAATATTGGAAATTTAGAAAGACTTTTCTTTTTCAAATAGAAATAAACAAAAAAATGTATATTATTCATTAAATAAATATTTAAACTTTTTTATCAAAATCTATAAAAAGGTACTTCCTGAGAATTTAAATTTTCAAAATAAGTCTTTAGTTTTGTTTAAAAAAAGACAAAAGCTACTTAACTTCAAAGTATTAACATTTCTTGATTCGCAATAAATTAGTTTCTAATAATTTTAAAAAATTTTCAACATTTACTTAAACCAAAAGAAGAATATATTGTTATTCAGAAAGCTAATGCAATTATGAATTAAAAATTTCAATATTCTACTTGGTAATATACTAGATAACATTGAACCTTGTCCTTCAATAATACTCCAACTACGTTTCCAATATAATTATACAGGCAATAAGGAAAACAAAATTAAATTGAAGAAAGTGATCACTTTCCCTGTATTGAAAGAAACATGTATGGCCTACATTAAGAAAAGATTATGTGGTAGACTTCAAGTTCGAATTGAAAGTTCTCTAAAAACCCTTGTGCGAAGTTTTTAAAAATTTTAATATTTCAAAATTTCTTATCACTGTATTAACCCCTTTCACTGTCACTGACTGTTTCGGGATCGCTGAATCCAAATCCGTTGTCGAAATTTTAGAATTCAAAATGGCGGCTTCAAAATGGCGACCAAAAAATTTTTAAATTCAACCAATCTGTCTGAAAATGTCTACTCGGGGTTTTTTGGGGTCGCTGAATCAAAATCCGTGGTCGAAATTTCAAAATTCAAAATAGCAACCAAAAAAATTTTTTAATTAACGAATTCCTTCACTTAAAAATTAAAAAACCGCCATTTTGAATTTTGAATATTCGACGACTGATTATTCAGTGACCCCAAAAACATACAATATGACAATATATGTTTTAAAAATTTAAGTGTCTTGATTGAAATATTCTATACGCTATCAGTTGTACTGATGCGTGTGCAGCTGAGCGTAGGGCGAGATATTCGATTCAGACGCTTATTTTCTCCTCTAATTAGTTATAGAATTTGAAAGTAATGTTGTTAGAATTTATGTATGAGAAGATCGAAGTTCTGGTCCTTTGCCTCAGTTGTATTGAGAATTAAACAACTGGACGTTGCATTAATTGCACAACTCTTAACCAAAACGAGTAGCAATATTTGGCACAAGGTCGCTGGACCGTTTTCTTCAGCATGTATTTCTTAACGATTTCAGAATGCTCGTTCTGACTTCGGAATTCACTAAATGAATTATTTAGACCTAACAGCAAACAGAAAGTAAACAACACTTTTTTTAAAGTTAATTCTCCGACTTTTGTGTGTCTTAAGTTAAAATAAAAAAAAATCCGAATCAAACAAACAGTATTTCAATATTTTATATTTGTAATAACAGAAAGTTGTCAGTTTTTTCTAACAATAATAATAAAATTAAAATATTAAAACAAAATAATTATTGAAAATATAAAAATATGCTTTATAATGAAAAAAAAAATATAAAAAAATCATCATTTGACAGAAGAATCCTCAAATCGCACAACTTTAAAACTATTCTATAAAAGTATACAATTTATTAGAAATATTCAAACGTCAGAAAGAATTTTTTTTAATTGTATGCGGAAGCATGCATACATACATAAAATGTTTAAAAATTTATGCAATGTACTGATTGAAGACTTTATTTACATTCAGGAATAAAAAGAAGGATTTTTTACATCAAAATATTAATAAACATAAAGCCTTACCTGGAAGTTTCAGTGAAAATTTTATTTTTAAAATTAGTTTTTTAATTTCTGTTTCCATATATTCTATATTCAGGGTTGACACAAAAATATAATTTTGCTTTTCCCTGATTTTCCTTGATTTCCAGAAAAAATTTTAACTTTTTCCCTGACCCTGAAGAATATTCTGATTAACTCCAAAAAATATTGGATTTTTAAAAAAAGGTTGTATTACATTTATTTATGAGTTTCTTTAATTGTAAAATTATTCAAAAACATTAATAACTTCTTTTTTAAATAATTATTTAATCATTACCTATTATTTTTCTATAGGAATTAAAAGATTTTCAAATTCAAACGGAATTGACTCGGATTGATCGATTCCTTTCTGTTTTATAATAAAATTTAAGATGACAGAGTGATAAAATCATTATTTTATATCATCAGAATATTGTAACTATAAATTCAAATTTTCAAAAATTTTAATTTGAACCCTTTTCAAAATCCAATTATTTCTAAAAATTCACGCTATAATGCTTTTAATATTCATTTATAATATTAAAATTTTAAGTGAAATTCACTTTTTAATTAATTTTTATTATAGTAAATTATTTGAGAATTTAATTATTTAAATACAAAAATAAATAATTTATTAAGTACTTGAATATTTCTTAAAATTGAATTTTTATGAAGAATTTTATCAAAAATTTTAAAAAATTATGAATTTAATTATGAATATTGAATTCTTTCGGCGAATTATAAAAAAAATTTTAAGAATAAATGAAATTTTCTATCATTTTATTTAAAATTGTACAAAAAATAATTGTAATTCTGCAAGTTTTGTTATTTATGAGAATAATATTGAATTCTTGCAACGAATTTTATTACAAATTTTTTTGAAGAATTGAATTCCTGTGTAGAATTTTATTTGTGAAAATAATTTCTTGTTAAAAAAACTTTATTCAAATTTTTTTAAATAATTCAATTCTCGAGAAAAGTTTTATTATTTATGAAAATAATTGAATTCCCATAAAAAATGTATTATTTGTGAAAATAATTGAATTCTTAAGAAGAATTGTATTGAAAATAATTGAATTGTATAGGAAATTTTTATTAAAATTGCAATTTTATTAACTAAATCTTGTAAAGAATTTTGTCAACACTTTTTTAAATAATAGAACTTTTAAAAGAAGTTTATTTAAATTTTTCGAAATAATTGAATATCTCAGAACTATTTTTTTCAATTTTCTGAATATATTTTAATTCCTTCGAGAAACTTCATTTAAAAATTAAAAATAATTGAATTATTGGTGCGAAGAAATTTATAAAAAATTGACAAGTAATTGAATTCCTGTGAAATTTTTATTAATATTTGGTTTAAATAATTGAATTCTTTTAGGAAACTTTATTAAAATAGTAGATATTATAAATACCTAATTGAAATGATGAAAATTTTTGAAAAAAATTACAATTTTGACAAGAATTTTATTAAATTTTTTATTGAAAATAATTGAA